ACCTCCCGAAGTAGTAAACTACAGTGCTCACGAACACGTAAAGCCTCGTGTCGGGAATTTAAATTTCGTGAATGTTGTAAAAGTTCTTTTAACAAATGGTGAGCTATTGCTGCATAATTTAATTCCACATATTTGGTACCCAATTTCATGAAGAGAGCCGAATAAGCCCCAATGATTGTGGTACGCGTTTCCCTACTATTGGAGTGCTTGTTATATATTGAAGAGAGATGAAGTAACATTTCTTCAACAGACAACATGACTTTTACATTTTCAGGAGGCTGACCAACTACAGAGTTTCCAGAATTCTGAGACACATTATTATGAGAGGAAGATGACGTATTACTTTTTGATGCTGTTGGTAATGCTAAAAAGTCTACTTCGCCCTGAGTCCCTGCCAACAAAGTAGCTATGTACGAAGCAACCGAACGTCTAATCTCCTGATTTGACCCCTCGAGCGTCTTTATCATTAAGGTGAGTAACTGCTCTAGTTCACCAGCCGTAATTGGATATTGTTGGTGGGTATGCTTTGCTATTGCGTGCATACACTAAAAATAGATAACATGAGCATGCTTCTACGTAATAAAATATTAAATGTATGAAATTATACACATTATACCTCAATAGTTTCAACTCTAAATATTAAGGACTTATCATTCAATCCGGACTTTAATTGCTTCATCATGTCTTTTATATCTAACTCTGTTGCACCTTTAGCCGAACCTTCAAGTGATCTGGTCATGGTTCTCGTAGCCTCCAGACGAATGCTTAACGGCTATATATAATGAAAATTGGATTCAAATACATTAATAGGTCAACCAAATTCATTCCACGCAACGGTTCCTAATAATCATACTTTTAAATAATTTCAAAAACAAAGTTCGTAACCTGACCAACTGTACTAACGTTGGTTGCATTTTTTATGAGTTTTAAGCAAATGCTTATTGTCTCTGGAAAAAATGATAAAATCCTGTTCCCGATTGATTTCGAAATAATTCCGATACAATACAATGCTGCTCTGTGGTCGAAAAATATGATTAATAACCTAGTAAAAATCAAACATGAGTAAATAGATGTGTTACTTACAACTTCGTTTCCTTTTCGCCAACTCCTTTTCCGACCACAGCTAAACTTTGCAAAGCAGTAATTGTATCATATAATGTCCTTGAATCGCCCTTGACATAAATAATCACAAAACACCTTGCGATTAATTGACGGATTGGTCTATGTGGTCTCGGTGAAGCCAGAGAAATAAACTTTAATAATTGTTTTTCGATGCTTGCTTGATATGATTTCAATGTTTCCTATTTAATCGTGTTGTAGAGAAGACA